TGATCAGGCGCGTATCCAGGATTCTTTTTTGGGGGGGGCACAAGCTAACTGCGGCTCCGAAAACTCGGGAAGCGGTTTCAAAAGGCGACAGAGGTAGGATGGGACAAACATTTTTTGGGGGGGGGCTTGGGGGCCAATGCCCCCCCCTGAATACGCGCCTGGGGATGATATCCCACACGAGCCGAGACAACTATGCGAGGTCCCCAACGATTCCCCCTCGCTGACAGGTGTTCACCCGTCATGGTGTCAGCGATCAGTCGAGAATACATCACCCGTTCCATTGCGTTGCCCATCGAAAACATCCTCACTCAAGCATGCTCATCTCAAACACATATATTCTATTTTTTTTTCTCATTTTCCTGAATACATCGCCCTCAAGAGTTTCCGTGTCCGAGATCACGAACGGCTCCCCGACCTATGGCGCCCAGGCATGTCCCGCTGGGAAATAGGTTTACATCAGGAATTACTGCAACCGAAGCAGCCCGGTTTTCGCGTTTTGAAAGAACAAGCGAATTACCAACTGACCGCTCGAGATCGTTGAAAGTCAAACAAATAGTTATCTGGTCACTCCAATCCTAATCGGACCGCGATGTGTACCTACCTACCTCCATCTCTGCCCGCCACTACAGACAGACGTACAGACCGACCGTGAACACAAACAGTGGATTGTCGGTTTCGAGCGAGTTCGAATAGTCGTGTTCTGTCTGGCGCGGCCTCTCCTCTTTTCTGGTCTCTCCGTTGCGTTAGACCGTGACTTGGCAGATCACGGTAGCGGCAGCGGGAGCAGTAGACAGCCGGCCGAGCGGGCGCCGCGCCATGAGAACCGACAACATTCGGCTCCCTCTAAACAGATCAAGACGCGGGTGCCTCCACGACGTGCTCCCAAAGTTCCACGCCGTTGAGAATTCGACGCTCGCTAAGGCTACCGACGGACACTCAATTGTGAGCCTTTTAGGCGCGCAGAGTGTCCCGGCAGCTCACTATTCGACTGAAAGAGTGGAAGATAAAACCGGCGAGGAGCACCGACTTTTTCGTGTGTGATGTCAGAGCTGTCTCCGTAAGCCACCGATTGTCAAACGACCGACGAAGCTCGATACTCGGCCGGACTCATGAACTGTGGCACGGGCTCGGCTGAAAAGAAAAACCGAACACCACCTCCTCCTTGCGAGCGAATCGAGAGGAGCTCCGCACCATCTGTTTAGTGGCTGTCTCAGTGCGAGTGGAAAATTGATTGATTGACTGAATGACTGACGGAGTGATGAAATGACATTCCGGTTAGCACGGTGACAGGAGAACCGGCGGCGCATCTCCTGCAAAGAAGTTCACCGGAAAGCATCGGAGCTCTGTCTTGTGCTGGAAACGTGTCTGTGACCACGGGGGACTTCTCTGATGTCTGTTAGACGAACCAATTCTCTAATCGCTCCGACCCGCGTCGGTAATCAGCTGGTGTTCAAAGTCAACGGAAAGACGTTGCATTTTCCTCGATCCCCGAAATCACCACAAGATCCGCGGAGAGACTGCTGGTCCCCAGGTACTTGAAGAGTTCTTTGTTACCGTTAAAATGAGGCTTGGCGAACACCTCGGCTCGTCCGAAAAATATACCGAGCATTCTCGCTCGGTATATTTCTCTATGAAATTCTCCTCGATCCCTCCAACCACGGATTTCTGTACACGGCAACCGATACGGAACTCTGACCCCACCATTCGGTAGCGGCCATCCGTTCGAGCCTCGCTCCTCTGAGGGGAACTCGAGTCTCCAGAATGTGTTCTGGCACAAGAAAAAACACAGGGGTGACGATGATGGGACATGGAAAATTCCGGAGCGCCGCTACTGGGTTTTCAAGGGTCATTCATGCGAGTTCGTTCGTTCCCTCTCGGCATCTTCCCCGTCCGACTCGAATTCCACGAGTGCAGGTGTTGAGTTCCTCCACATATTATTACATGCTAGCCCCGAGGCTTGTGGAAGGTTTCCTCTAATGACGTCCGGAAGCGCCGCGCAGTCCCAATAAGCCGATTTCGCGCCGCTACCTGCAACTTATGGGTCGATCCCGGGCAAGTTCATCTGTGGGCTCCCGACCTCACACCGAGCGATACTCAATCATGCCTAGGTCCACAAAGACGATTGAAGCGATCACGAGTGGTTCACTAGGGCCGCACAACGCATACTATTTGTCGTTTAAAACAAAATTCGGTGTGCGCTCAGGTGCATCGTACAAACGCAGTCTGGAGAGCTGTTTCAGCTTCAGTTCTACCTGTGGTCAGTTCTACAGGGGGAAGCAAAATCTGAGCAGCGATCCGATCTCATCGGCATCGCGGTGGCCGATGAGACGGTTGTTTATTGGACGCCTGCGTACCTTCCTCAGTCATTCTGTGACATCAAGGCATCGAGAGGAAGCGCTTTGGAAGCCTCGATTTCAGCCGCCTGCGGATATTCGCAGGTTCTTGTCCCGAAACTGTCCATACCCAACCATAATGAGCCTTGAAGAGTGGGTGAATCACTGGATTATCACAATGATTCCGGAGATCACCATTCGACTCTCCTCTCTGACCTATGCTCCCTACGTTCGATGGGTCAATGAGTCTGTCCGAAGGGTTCTTCTCATTTCCCCGTTGATCGGTCAATCAGCGATGTCAGGGTGAATTGGAGGAAAATAGACTCGCGATTGATCATTCGCGAGCCTGCAGGAATACATACTACGATTTCGCGATGCGGCTTCGCGTCGGAGGTTCAGGTCTCCACGGAGTGTTCAGTCATGAGTGGTGTCGCCGACAGGACTCCATCGGATCCCCGCAGTCGAGGATCAAGGGTGAAAAAGCCAATTTCTCCGCTTTTTGCGTAATGAATTCCTCGAAGCGAACCTGGTGCCCCACCAAGAGCATGCCCCTGTCCGACGTCGTGGCTTGGTACACTTCCAGCGCTTCACAAGTCTCGTCATTCGAAAGGCTTAGGTGCCGACATTTCGTGTACTTATCGTGAACTGAGGGATGGTTGGGACGCCGTTGGTCCATGTATTGTTCTCCGACGTCTCGCGAAATCGAGGGAATTGAGCGGAGTAGCTCGGAGTTCGTGATCAAGACTCCGCTCAAGACAATTGAGGGCTCGGACTCACGTTTTGAAGGACGAGAAATCTAAGTATCCTCGTATTGGAGATAGTACCGACCTGAATTATTTTT